AAAAAATATATTCTCTTTATTATTTTCACACTTTCTTTTAAGCTTGTTGGAGAGGCAATGTCTGCCATTGCTGCCAATACGAACGTCCCTGTTACTGTGAAATGTCGAATTGGTGTAGACGATCATGATTCGTATGATGAGCTCTGTGAGTTTTTTTTTTGGTTGCAAGGGCCTTCTGTTTTCTAAGTCTCGTATGGATTTGCCACTACGTGCTAATACTGCTTTTCCTTTACACTTAGGTGACTTTATCTACAAGGTTTCTACTCTATCACCTACCAGGCATTTCATTGTACATTCACGCAAGGCACTGCTCGGTGGGATAAGCCCTGCTGATAACCGGAGAATTCCTCCTCTAAAGTATGTTTACCTTAACTTTCCTCTTGATTACCTGTAATTGTGTATGACCTATTTGTTTCTTTAAGGTCACCTGTTTGTGGGCATAGTTCAGGTATGAGTATTTCTATGCCCTCGTGCGTGACTTCCCGGATTTGAGATTCACTATTAATGGAGGCATTACTTCTGTTTCGAAGGTGACCCATCTTGGATATGAGAGCCTAGCTTTCTTTCTGCACGACCAGGGTAAGACTGAGAAAATTTCTGTGATTGTAAGGTAAATGCTGCACTGAAGGAAGGAGCTCATGGAGTCATGGTAGGACGTGCTGCATACAACAAGTATGTGAAATTTAGCTCGATTGGTCTGAGCTCTATATCAGAGCCCTTTTCTTGATGCGCTGTCTATCCTTGACAGCCCATGGCAGATGCTAGGACATGTTGACACTGCAGTTTATGGTGTACCAAGCAGAGGCCTTACACGCCGACAGGTTCCGTGGAAATATTCAGGTTTTGAGTTGCTTTGTCTGTCAAACGTATCAATAAGCTAAGATAAAAATTCCAAAATCTGTTGGGCAGGTTCTTGAACAATATCAAGTATATGGAGACTCTGTGTTAGGAACACATGGAAACGGGAGGCCTAATGTGAGGGATTTAGTGAAGGTAGGTGTGGTTTAAAAAAGAAAGCGGTAGGTGTTGAGAAGAAAAGTAAAATACAAATCTTGTGTGTGAACTGAAGATGTTTCAAATGATTGCAGCCTCTGCTAAACCTTTTCCATTCAGAAAATGGAAATAGCTTGTGGAAGCGGAGAGCAGACGCAGCTTTCAAGGAGTGCAGGGTGTGTGATATATTCGTTGGAACATGTTATAAAGTTTGTAACTGGTGTTGAGTGTTGAATTATGTATTGTAGAGTGTTGGATCATTGCTGGAAGAAAGCTTGAGGGCGATCCCGGACTGTGTCTTAGATTCACCCATATCTGGGAGTCCAGAGAGTGGAGAAGAAGATGTGTTTGCAGATGTGCACAATGTATTGCCCCCACCCTACGAAGCAGCTGGAGAAGGAATCATCTTATGTGCTTAGTTTGTTGGTGTTGTTTATTGTCTCTGTGACTCTGTCTATTAAAAAATTGATTTTAATTGTAAATTGAACGGGGCTTTTCATTAGGTTGGTCCTGGGCTCGTATATGGGCTTATCCGTTATTTTTGTCATTATATAATTCTGGGCCCGTTGCGACGTGGCAGCGTTTCCGCCAAGGACGCGGGGTCATATTATCTATCTGTCGTCCATCTTCTTCTCTGAAATCCCCTACTCCTTGCAGTTGCAGCAAAACAAACAATCATGGCGGAGAAGCTCAGTGATGGCAGCAGCGTCGTCTCAGTCAATCCTAAACCCTCCAAGGGTTTCTCCTCTAAGCTTGTCGATCTTCTGGAGAGACTTGTTGTCAAGCTCATGCACGATGCTTCTCTCCCTCTCCACTACCTCTCCGGCAACTTCGCTCCCATCCGTGAAGAAACTCCTCCCGTGAAGGATCTCCCCGTCCATGGATTTCTTCCCGTGAACTTCTCTCATTTACTCTTTGATCCTTTCCCCGAGGGTGTTCTTATTATGATCGTCTCCTTTTTGTCGCCCAGGAATGCTTGAATGGTGAATTTGTGAGGGTTGGTCCTAATCCCAAGTTTGATGCCGTCGCTGGATATCACTGGCACGTTCTCTTCTTCTTCTTCCATTTTACAATATTCAACTATTCATCCTGGTGGCTTCCTACTTATAATATTCCATCTGCTCTCTTTTCTTCAGGTTTGATGGAGATGGGTACGTGAATCGTTTCATCTTCTTGTCCCCCTTCATATCCCCTGTATACGGAGAAAGCGATTTATATGTTTCATCTTATGGTCTTCCTCTTCATGTCTCATAACTTTGCAGGATGATACATGGGGTACGCATCAAAGATGGGAAAGCTACTTATGTTTCTCGATATGTTAAGACATCACGTCTTAAGCAGGAAGAGTTTTTCGGAGCTGCCAAATTCATGAAGGTGCGCTATTATATTAAAGAGTGAGTTCATCTTCTGCTTTCTGGAATTGTGGGGGAAATCATTTGTGCTGATTTTGCAGATTGGGGACCTTAAAGGGTTTTTCGGATTGCTTATGGTCAATGTGCAACTGCTGAGAACGAAACTCAAAATATTGGACAACACTTATGGAAATGGAACTGGTTTCCTACTTCATCTACTTTTGTATTCATCCTTTCTATTTTCTCTACTTGTATCTTAAAATCGCACTCTCTTTTTCCATGCACCAGCTAATACAGCACTCATATATCACCATGGAAAACTTCTAGCATTACAGGAGGCAGATAAGCCGTGTAAGCCTCCTATATGACCTCTTCGTTTTTCTTTTTGTTGTACATTGGTCCAAAGTGAGCAAATATTTGAACCTGATCTATCTAGAAACCGAATCTTCTGTTATGTTGGCAGTGTTTCTCTTCACCCACGTCCTTGTTTCAAATTTTGATTTATAAGATATGCAAGGTGGGAAGAGTTATGTTTCGTTTCTTTAAAGTCAAAGCCACTCTCTTTTGGTCTGTAGATGTCATCAAAGTTTTGGAAGATGGAGACCTGCAAACTCTTGGCATGATAGATTATGACAAGAGATTGACCCACTCCTTCACTGCTCACCCTAAAGTTGACCCGGTTACGGGTAAGTCTTCACTTTTCCCTCGAAAAACAAGTTACTATTTCTGTTGACATGATAAACTGTCATGGGCTCTCTCTGTAGGCGAAATGTTTACATTCGGCTATTCGCATACGCCACCTTATCTCACATACAGAGTGATCTCGAAAGATGGCATTATGCATGACCCAGTTCCAATTACTATATCAGAGCCTATCATGATGCATGATTTTGCTATTACTGAGACTTATGTAATCTTCATGGATCTTCCTATGCACTTCAGGCCAAAGGTATGTTACACAAGATTGTCTTGCCTCCCATATACTTTTCTTGAAATGGTGTAGGAGTATAAAGAAAATAAGGTTGCGTGTTTTGAATTTCCTTTGAGAATCATAGAAATTGCCTCCCCTATACATTCACGATTTTTTGTAATTGATTCCAAGGAAATGGTGAAAGAGAAGAAAATGATATACTCATTTGATCCCACAAAAAAGGCTCGTTTTGGTGTTCTTCCACGCTATGCCAAGGATGAACTCATGATTAGATGGTTTGAGCTTCCCAACTGCTTTATTTTCCACAACGGTGTGTGCTTTTTAATGTCTGTTGAAGTTTTAATATCATCACATTTTATATTCTACATATACCAATCAAACATCTGTGAATGACTTCATATATTCAGCCAATGCTTGGGAAGAAGAGGATGAAGTTGTCCTCATCACTTGTCGTCTTGAGAATCCAGATCTTGACATGGTCAGTGGGAAAGTGAAAGAAAAACTCGAAAATTTTGGCAATGAACTGTAAGAATCCCTGACCTGTTACATCTGTCCTGCTCTCTCATAACTGTAAGCCCTTCTCAACTATTGCTTGTGCAGGTACGAAATGAAGTTCAACATGAAAACGGGTTCAGCTTCTCAAAAAAAACTATCGGCATCTGCGGTTGATTTCCCCAGAATCAACGAGTGCTACACCGGAAAGTAAGAGTTCACCCTTGTCCTTTGTGTTGATATGCATTGTGTCTCCAGCAAGGAAACCTCATCATGCCTAACGTTTTTTTTTTTCGTTTGTTTGGTGCGTTTTTAGGAAACAGAGATATGTATATGGAACAATTCTGGACAGTATCGCAAAGGTTACCGGAATTATCAAGTTTGATCTGCATGCAGAAGCAGAGACAGGGAAAAGAATGCTGGAAGTAGGAGGCAATATCAAAGGAATATATGACCTGGGACAAGGCAGATATGGTTCAGAGGCTATTTATGTCCCGCGTGAGGCAGCAGAAGAAGACGACGGTTACTTGATATTCTTTGTTCATGATGAAAACACAGGGTAAGCTCTCCTGCTAGTTCCTTATCAGTCATCACTTGTAGCTTTTGTTTCCGGCTGCTAAAATAATATGATGGTTGAAAATGGACAGGAAATCATGCGTGCATGTGATAGACGCAAAAACAATGTCGGCTGAACCTGTGGCAGTGGTGGAGCTGCCGCACAGGGTCCCATATGGCTTCCATGCCTTGTTTGTTACAGAGGTACGAAACTCTACATCCAAATATTTCTTCTTTACAAGCGATGCATCTCTAACCACCAGTGGGTCTGGTACTCACAGGAACAACTCCAGGAACAAACTCTTATATAAGCCAAGCTGTGTGCATACACATATAATACTTCAGAGTCAGAGATGTGGAAGTAAGGGCAAAACCGGGAAACTGGGTGATACTGATATTTACTATTACACAGATTATGGCATTATTCTACTGCCTCGTTTCTCTTTACACATAATTACATTTCATCCCCCAATATCAACAAGGTTTCTACTTTCCGTGGCCCTTTGTTCTTTACAATCTCTAGATGAATTGCAGCATCTCCACTCTCCATGTTTAATTAAATGAGTAGGATCTATCTTCTTACTACGTCGAGAAGGATCAAATGAGTACAAGTAGAGGAGGGGTGGGTAGAAACTTAATAGATGGACATGTGCACCGTCACCATATATGGTTTCAGCTTTTAATTGTCTTAGCATTTGGTATACAATACGAGTGAAGGTTAAACTTAAAACTCACACAAGCGAAAATGGAACTAGAAGAAAAATTACATGTACAGAGAAGGACTGAACATGAGAGAGTATAGTGTGGACATATTTTTTTTAGACTATTTTTTGGGTTTTCAATACACTAAAACAATTACTTGATGAGCCTCAATATAAAAAGCCAAAAAGAAAAAAAGAGGAGCCCCTTCTGCCGATCAATGGATGCTGGGCTCTCCAAAGACCTCGCTGTTGCACACCGGGCAAACCTGGGTTCCATATGCATAGAGAAGTTTCAGTTGAACTGAGGATGTAAAACCATATCTATAAGGTCAAATAACAAATACCTTGTTGATGCTTAGCCATTTGGAAATGCATTCAGAATGATACACATGCTTGCACGGCAGATTCATTTGCCTATCCCCTATCTTGTACTTGAGCTGGCATATTACACACCTGCTCATCACACGCACACTTATCACGTTATCAGTATAAACCTGTGACCAACATTATTATAAGCTTGCTCTTTACCTTTCCCCAGCTCTTTTCCTGGAGAAGATGCTCCCAAACTTATACTTTCTAGTGGGGAGCGTTTCTATGAGTTCCTGAGACAACCCCCGGCTTTCTGTTCCTACTGCTTCCCCCAGCTCTACTAATTCCTGATCCACAAACCAAACAACTTATATGTTGTCCCGCATCTAGATGTGAATCCACTGCCTCTCTTGACCATCTTCGTCAATTTTTATTTTATTTATTAAAAAAACGAACCCCCACAAGGAAACTGAAACGAACCTCATAGGTCATTGTATCAGGATCAATATCATCTTGCCAGGATACCTGTGGCAACATGGCATTAACGAGCATATAGAATTCATATCAGTGTTTAGATCACATCCTGCACGAATACACCCACTAGCTTCACAAAGATGGGCAAGAGTTAACTAGTTGACACAGATTCAAAAACCGTTTAAATCATGTGTACATACCTGAGGACTGTCGGGATCATGCTCATTTGTAATGCCTGTAAACACAGACAAATTATTAGCTTAGAAAAGAAAATGATCAAGTAAAAAGAATCGGTAGAAATAACTAACATTCTTCGGCTTCAGAGTGCTCATCTGTGTCCCCGATTTGGACAGAACGTGTAACTGTGATTTCAGGATCATCAACAACGTTCACCATGGGATGGTAGTCCCAATTTGTTCTCCCTATGGACATCCTCGATAAATGATCGTTCATGTCATAAGAACCATAGAAAGAAGCATTATCTGATCCTGAAAACCCAAACTTGTATGCATTTGAATTCATGGTCCAGTACAGATTGTCCTGAGAATAGGCAAAGAAGGAACGTCATAAGAGCATACACAATTGTAAACATTTGACAACGGATGGGACATAAAACTTATTTAGGAAAACAAAAGCAAGTACCTGAGGATGCATAGTTCCGGAATGAGCATAGGTTAGAGGCCCCTGAGACGCACCACCATAGAAATCGATGTAACTGCCAGTAGCAGCATAAGGGAAACCCGTCTCCGTGTAATGAGCATCTTCCACTGGTCTATCTCCATTCATTTCAGCTACTGCAATTGAGAAGAAGAAGAAGACTGTGAGATATATTTAGAGGATTTGAAACAAAAGAAAGAAGATTTGAAACAAAAGAGTAGGCATTGGAGGGTGAGCAATGCCAGAGAAATGAAATGCCTTACAAAATACGAATGACCCTAGCAACTAGGCAACTGCAGTGCAGACATATATATACTTATCCAGAGGGGAAAAAGGAACAAAACAAATTTCTAGATTTGCATAAACAAAATACAAGTCCAGAGGCAGAAGTAGGAATATGCAGAAAGTGGCTTAGGGTCAGGTGTGAACTAAAGCATACAAAAAAAAGAGGAAAGGAATTGAAAGACGAGGAAGGAGGCATACATACATTCGAAGAGAGTTAGAGCGGCAAGTGGCAATTGGAGACGGCAGGGGGGAATCTCGAATGATATATCTTCCTGCACGGCAAAACAAATTAAGAAGAAAGAAAAAATAAAAAAAAAGAGAGAGGATGAAATTAGAGCAGAAAGAGACTTACTTGAGAGATTAGTGGAAGAAGGAGGAGGAGGACAAGGGCATTTCGACCAAATTCATAGGACAACGAAATAGGTGAAGCGGAGGGCACTGTAGACGAGAGACGGAGGAGCAGAAGGAGAGTGAGAGAGAGAGATAGAGAAAAAAAAAAAAAAAAAGAGAAAGAGAGAGGAAAGTGTGGAAGGAGACAAAACGACGTCGAAGGAAGGGAAGAGAAGGGGGAAGAGAAAAAGCCGTTGAAGAAGCCGGCAAAAAGATATGTGGTTCAGTGTGGGGAGACGCACCCACCCCCAGATGTCATCTCAACCCTACATCTGTCTTCAAGTCCCGTGCTCAGACCCAGAGACAAAGATTTGCTTCTTTATAGTATTATTACAAAAAAAAAAAGGGAATGAGAGAGTATTTGTTCTTCATTGATGGATCAAATATTTAAAACATAAAGTACAGCTCTCGGCCTTGAGATTATCAAAACCACAACTTGCTTGCTGTTTTCCCACAAAAGGAAACCTCCCTAGTCCCTTCCATGCTTTTCTTTTTATTACTAGCTACTAGTTGTATTTTTATTCACGGTTTAATTAGTATAGCTGTGCTAGTATAAACAGTATGCTTGGATCCATGGATAAAAAGAGAAAAGAAACGAAGGTAACTTATTATTAGAAAAGACAATGTCCTTGCTTGTCTTGTCTAGTCTGTTGTCGTATGTAGGGGCAATTGAAACTCCAATGAATAGTACTACTAGTAAATAACACCCCGATCCACTACTAACATAAAAGCAAGAAGGCACCTTTTACGTGTAGATGCCGGGAAAGTTGCAGACAAGCAAATACAAAAAAATAAACCAAACACATTTGGTTGGTTTCTCTATGTTCAAGGCATTATTTGCTATATGGCTATATCCTTATATATTTATACCTATATTAAAATTGATGATAAAGGATCACAAACAAACTCCAATTTATGTATTCTCTCAATTTAAATACATTCCGACAAGGAAAGATAACATTGAACATTGAAGGAGGAGTTTCAAGAAGAAGAGACAGTCTTGAAGGAGTCGCGAAGGTGGGTTAATGTATCGTGGTCGCGGTTCCACTCGGGCGCAGGGGCGTTTACGAAATGGGCGTAGAGCTTGTTCTTGGCGCAAGTGACTGTGATCAGGCTGTGCTTTCCAACTCCATCGATCTCGTACAGATAGTAGACCTGCCCTGTCTCGTCCTTTCTCTCCTCCGACACCACTTTGTCGGCGCCGGCTATCAAATCCTGCAGCTCCACGTCCGACAAGGCAAGGTTGTTCAGAATCACATCCCTCGGCGCCAGCTGTCTGAATCCCGCCAGGAATGTCAGGTACTCCTTCTCCGTCTTCTTCTTGGGGTTGTAGAATTCGCTGTCTGTTCCGTTTGTCCCCTTCTCCACCTTCGACACCAGCCTCTCCTTCCACCCTTCCGGCACATCGTACACGTACTCCGCCGATGCCTTCCTGTCCGAATTCCCACCGTATCCCCCGTAGTTCGCCGCGCTTGCTGCCGTCCCGTAGTAAATTTTGTACGTTTGGTTCCCCCCGCCAGCCGCCGGCAGCACCGGAACCATAGTCAGCACGGAAGTCGCGGCCAATGTGGCGGCCAGGGGGGTGCCTAGACGTGATGCTATCGCCTTTGGGGCGATCGGCGTTCTGGTGGCGGAGATAACGGGAGATGCCAAGAAGATTTTCGTGGCCATTATACTCTCTAGTCTCTATGGATAACGTTTCCCATCTCAAAGCCTCACTATCTGTCTTATTTAATAACAACCCTCCAGCGAGTTATGCTTTTTACTGACTAATTAAAATCTTCGGATAAGCCCCAAACTTTATCATATTTGCATGTACACCCCCGGATTCCCAATAAGCTGGTGCGACGACTCTCAGCCGCGAAACCCTAAACATTCATCTTTTTTTATTCCCAGGAGAGATATTCATTCATAATCAGTATCAGCCCCCCGATTCCTTCTCTCGATCGCCGATGTCGAAAAGGTGCGTGCTTTACCCATTTCATTTTGGTTTGTCTTCTCTCTTCTTCATAGGCTGATGACTTCTTTGTCTGAAAGCTTGCAACGTTTTTGTTTTCATTGCAAATTGATACATGTTTTTAGAATGATCCGTCTCTTCATTAAAAAGAATCGATTCAATACATTTCTTATGTACCCATAGGGTTCAATGCGTACCAATGAAGATAATCTCAGGGTGTGGGCTCTTAATAATTTCTTCCCCTTAAAAAACGTATTCATCTACGTGGTTTAGACTGAGTAATTTGTCATGAATTCGCCATCTGGGAAAGATCTTATCACTGTTTTTCGTATATCTAAGCGTGTGATAATTTTCAGTCAAGAGTCTGTGAATAGTTTCATCTTCTGTATGCTAAATATCATTCCTTGTTCATTGATGCTCTTTTTGTCTCTCCCAACAGTTTGTTCTTCTCACTTTTTTTTTTGTTGTTGTTGTTTTGTTTCCTCTTAGAATCCTTTGTAAATTCTTTGCTCACGGTGCATGCTTGAAAGGGGAGCACTGTGAATTTTCGCATGACTGGAAGGATCCTACAAATAATGTAAGCTTTAACTCTGTCTTGCCTATGTATAGGGGAACCAGCTTTCATCAACTTGAAATTCCTTTGTATTGTTAATGTTCTCTAATAAACGACAATCCTATCACAGATTTGCACCTACTACCAGAGAGGAATCTGCTCTTATGGAAGTCGATGCAGGTACGAACATGTCAAAGCTTCTCGGCCCCATCCATCGGCTTCATCTTCGTCCCCTGTGCCTCTGTCATCTCCTGCTTCAGCTTCCAATCCTCTTGCCCGTGTTTTTCTTCCTGGTGTATCTGAAAGAGATTTGAGCCCAGTTCCCTCTTCATGTTTAAAACCAACGTGGAATTTGGATTCTTTTCACCAGGATTCCTTAGACTCCTTAGACGAGGTCAACACTTTTAACCCCGGTACAGTCAAACCTGAAGAACAACCCATTTGCTCATTTGCTGCAGCTGGTGATTGCCCACGTGGGGATGAATGCCCTCACATCCATGGAAATATTTGCCCAACTTGTGGGAAATGTTGCTTGCATCCTTTCAGACCCGAGGAGAGAGAGGAGCACAAGAAAGTATGTGAAAAAAAGCAGAAGCAGCTTGAAGCATTAAAAATTAGTCAAGAGATCGAGTGTTGTGTCTGTTTGGAACGTGTATTGTCTAAGGCAACTCCAGCTGAACGGAAGTTCGGGTTACTCACTGAATGTGATCATGCTTTCTGCATAGCATGTATCAGGAATTGGCGGAGCAGTTCTCCTTCCACTGGGATGGATGTCAATAGCACACTACGGGCTTGCCCCATATGCCGCAAGTTATCTTATTTTGTTGTTCCTAGTGTGATCTGGTTTTCAGCTCCAGAAGAGAAAAAAGAAATTATGGATAACTACAGGGAAAAGCTCAGGTAAAATTACATGCTTTATGAACATGCCTAAGTTAATTAACTGTGGACAAGGTTTTTCATTCTGGTGGTTTTATTGCTGTCTTTGTGTTCACAATACTTGATTGGCTAGCAAAGCAAGAAAAATCTGTATGCTTATAAGTCAGTTTTATGCTCTCTGTTTACCAGGTCAATCGATTGTAAACACTTCAGTTTTGGAGATGGGAATTGTCCGTTCGGGACAAGTTGCTTCTACAAGGTAATTTTATGCATTTAGGGTTGAAACTCTAATTAAATCAAGCATGCCTGAATGATGTTAAATAATATGCGTACCTGTTTTTTACTGAATAGTGATAGGCAATCCTTTTTTAGTCGGGGGTGTATTTAAAACCATGGCTGAGTGGATTAGTTTTGGTTCATAGTATCTTTGCGGTGCCATTGGTTGAAATGAGTTCAGAGACGTAATTGTTTAAGTAGACATTTGGCACCGCTGTTCAAAATTACGTTGAAATCAGGTTTCATTGTTTGTATTTACTGCCTTGATTTCATACATGAGTATTTTCCGGTATCTGTTTGAAAGCAATTTAGAATCACCATAATTGACGCCCTCTTGAAACTCTAATTATATAATCCATACTTGAGATCCCGTCAAATATTATACCTTGCTGTCTCTTACTGATAGGCAAACCTTGCTGTTTTACATTTCCTTTTGTATTGTCTGGGCTTACCTCCCTATACTACTTATTGCCAGATGTTCCAAATCTTGGAAATTTAAAATGTTTGCTGATAACCGTAGCGTTGAAGCTTTATAATTATCCAAGAGTCTTGGCAATTAGTTTACATAGAGATTTCGGCTAAGATTTTATGTCTCCATAGAAGGAAGCGTTGGAAATTCATTGATGTGATATAGCATCAATGGTTACTGATATACCGTAGGCCTGAGATAAAATAATGTGATGAGTTTTCTGCATTGAGGGAGGGTGGGTTTGCAGAATTTTCTACTAAGTCCTTAGAAAGCTTGATTAGTCCTTAATGGATGTTGTTGTGTTCCAGCACACAGTGAAGCCAGGTTCATATGCATGGAAATACCACAGGCTACCTCCGAGGCGTTCTCGTCCCTCTGGAACTAACTTCTCAGACGTGGATACACTTGTAAATATGATCGGGAATATAATTTCAGAAGGCGAATATGGTCCTATTGGGTTTGAAGATACGGACGATGATGAACTGACTACAACGGATATGATGATGTTACTGATGCACATGGATATAGAATCTGAGGACTCGTCCAATGAGGATAGCTATTAGCTACTCATATCAAAGTTAGTTAACTAAAGCGAGAGTCTTAGGTTATATAGCTATAATATGGTGTTGGGAGGTTGTGGTAGTTTTTGTCTTTTGGGTGAAGTATAATTTGACTATTTTCCTCTTGGAATGTATATTTGATGGTGTTATGCACCTCTAAAATTCAAAGGGGGGTTGTGGGTGTGATTGCAGCATGCGTATCATGATGGTCGTTTGGAGGAAGTAGTTTTGCGGCATCTGGATGCAGAAGATGGGCAGACTGTGATAGCAAAAGATATAAGGTATTGGTGCCTTCAACTTGTACCACCAGTCTCTTGTTTCAATTGATTTCAGCTTACCTCTGGATGGTTATTCGTTTTTATAGGTTGTCTGACTTCCTTGAGAGCATGCACATATGAACAGAGTCTCTTGGTACAATAAGGGAGAAGGCGAAGATTTGTGATAACATCTTTTTTTTGTTTCTCTTCCTGTGTGTTTCCCATTCATTGTAACGATTTGATTTGAGTTGGAAGATTATATCTTGGACCCCAATGCATTATGATGACTTGCGGTAAGAGGGGATCATTTTTATTAATTTTGTCTTTCTAACAAATATCACTACTTCCTGCATATCAGGGCCCATGAGCGATACTGATGTGGGGCTAAAATATTTGTCAAAATCCTTTAGCTTGTTTCGCTGTCCTTCTGTTACCAACTGGAGATACCGTTCACCTATCTGATAGCTGCTTACTTCTTTTTCGACAAGTAAATTGGCTGGCAAAGTGGTTTTGATTACCGAGCTGAGCTTCTGATTGCAGCAATTTCCTCGTATAAAGTACAGACTCTTGACTTTAGTACTAAGGTCTATAATAGTTGCTAGGAAGCTAAGGCAAGGACTTCTGGAATAAAAAAAGCTCTAATTCTAAATCTCGGAATTTAAAAACTTTGGAATCCGCGTGTTGCCTGCATATCAATGCTTACCAACCCCCAATGGCTATGCCTCTACATCTCCGTCTTCCTTTTTGCTATCATCCAATATATCACGCAAAGATATCCTCTGTCAACAATGGTTCTTCACCATTCACACAACCTTCAGGTGCACACTCGATTTGCTCATAGTTAAGTTGTCTGGACGCTTCATACAGAGCAATCCCTACACTCACCGAAAGATTCAGACATCTCACATACGTTTCTACCATCGGAATACGTAGGGTCCCCCCTCCATATGGTTCGTGTTTGCAGTCTGACAGCGCTTCAGGAGGTAGACCGCATGTCTCTGACCCGAACAAGAGGTAATCGCCTGGTCGGTAAGAGAAATCCTGCATCAAGTTGTGACCATTTTTTTCAGCTACCCAATTGCTAGTGATTGTTGCTATTTCTGGTTGGTAAACAACCAGAGGTGGATGGAAAACAGAGGTCGAAGGAGAGGCAACTTACTGAATGTATCCTTGTTCCTCTTTTTGTGAAAGCTATCATCCGTTTTTCTCCCTCCTAAACCAAAGAAAGAAATATATGTCAAGTCAGACACCACACATATGGACTTGAGCTACTAAAAAATATATAGGAGAAGTGGTAAACCTGTTGCCTGAAATATTCTTGAAACTCAGCCCATGAGCTATGCGCTCTGACAACCACAAAGCTATGCTTTAAGTTAAGAAGAAGAACAGCTAATGAAAGGGCATCGATCTTACAGCATCTAACATTAAAATAACAGATGAGATGCTCTCATGCTCATGCAAGGGACCAACAACACAAAAAACAGTAGGGATCTATACCAGTAAACTCTCTTTTCTCATGAAACCGAAAAAAATTCTTATTTATTAGACAAATAAAGTCGGATACGGCCAATAATCCAAACCAGCTCGCTTTACTCTGGCGTCATCAACTTGAAAACCTAATGGCTGAAGCAGGAACAGATGACGATCAAATCATGAGCACTGGAAATAACCAACAAGTCAGTGTTTGCTTGATCCAAAGGGCATACTTTACCCCAACTAAATGCAGCCCAACAGCTGAGGCCGCACATGTTCTTGCAATGCAACCTGTATTCCCAGGAATCTGTCAAGGAGAGTATAAGTTTAGATCCTGATATGGACCAAGATGTACTGGGGAAAAATCAAACTATGAAGACCAAAGCAGATAGAACCTGAGGAGGTTCAGATATGTAGCAAGTGAGAGTGCAAACCTGGGGAGAGACCAAAACTACTTGAAGCAGCTTACTCCTCGCATCTTCCTTGACTCCTTCTCCCGCCCCTCGCGGCAGAGGATTTCCCTTATCTGACTCGCCTACACCAACCAACTCGGAAAGATTACAAGTCAAATAGAAGAGAGAGATTGAGAGAGAGAGAGAGAGCGTGAGAGTTACACAGAGGAGAGTGAATCTTGGAAGAGAACGAGGTGATGGAGAGAGATAGCTTGCGCTTGAGATGAGTTAAGCTAAGGGAGGGAAAAAGACGGCCACTTGACGGCAGACGAAACGTCCTTGAAGCTATGACGCTCAGACTGCTCCGACCGCAACTCTCCATCTCCTCGCCTCCCTTCTCCGCCGCAGATTCCAGGACGTCTAATAAGATATAAAGAATTGGGCCGCAAACTTTTAGGCCCATTCAATACTCTTTTATTTGGCATAGTACTTTGAAACCAAGGTACTAGGACAAATAAACCGAACCGAATGTATTGAATATACCGAATTAAAACCGAAGAAAAAAACCCGAACTGAACCTAAAATTTGAAAACAACTGAATGGATACTAAATTCAATAACCGAAAGAACCGTAACTGAATTGATACCTAACCGACATATTTCGGGTAATTGAAATATCTTAAATACAATTATATTTTCAAAGGTATTAATTATTTATAAACCAAATAATCAAAAATACTAGTTATTTATAGACCAAATAATCAAAATGGTGTTCCTGTAGAAGGCTGATTTGTGGAAGGCTGATCATCATGCTCCTTCAAACATGTTCTCTACGGCAAAAACTTGGACTGCTCTTCATCCAAATGGTGTTCCTGTCCCTTGGTATAAGTCTGTTTGGTTCAAGGATCGGTTACCAAAGTACGCGTTCATTTGTTGGCTTGCAGCAGATTGTACACAAGGGATAGACTCTGGAACTGGGGACTCAACACTCTTTTGGTTTGTGTTTTGTGCAATGTCATTTCAGTGGAGAGGTTTGGCGTTTCTTCACCCTTAGGGCTGGATTGACTCCTCCTTCGCAGTTTATGGCTTCTCTCATCTAGTTGAAGTCTGCTTCAACATCTAAGAATCTCTCGCTTATCATTAATTTCTCTTTCAAGCTACTGTTTATCTTATCTGGCGAGAACGGAACTCGAGGATTCACTCTAACAACTTTCGTAATCCTCCTCAAATCATAAAGGAGATTCATTTGCTTGTTAGAGCTAGGATGGATCCTCTTTCTAGGTTACAATCTTCTAGTTCTCTGGGATCTTCTCTCCTCGTCACTTGGTTCGCTCTGTTTCAGAACTAGGTACGCTCTCTTCATCATCTGGCCTTCTCTGTTCCCTCCATAGTCTGTTGGGTTTCTTTGGCCTTGTTTCTTTCTTCTTGTTTTTTTCCTTTTTCTGTCTTTTTTCGAGCCTGCGTGCTCATGTTAAGCTTCCCAGCCTTGTATCTTTTTTCTTTCGGGCATGCGTGCTCTTGTTGGGCTCTTGGCCATGTATGTTGTTTAATGTTATACTGGAAATTTAAAATTTAAAAAAAAAAATCAAAAATACTTGAAAAATATATAAAAATAGTAAAAATACTCAAAATAACCGGAAAATATCAGAAAATAACCGGAATATCTAAAAATATCCAAAGCAAAATAACCGAATGGATACTAAATTTTAAAACCGAAAGAACCGGAACCGAAACCAAACCGAACCAAAATTTCAAAATACCCTAATGGATACTAAATTTTAGAACCGAAAGAATCAAAAATGAATGAATACGAACCGATAACCGATTGGATAACCGAACGCCCAGGACTACAAGGTACCCTAATGTTTAACAAAACAATGACATCTTATTTTTTTTTGGAAAATTTGCAGCTATAACATACAAAAAAATTATAATTAAGTAAATGACCAAAAAAAAAAGCCCATTGATATTGTCTGTATTTCTTGTATGTTTTGACCTTTTTAGCCTTATGTGAAATTCACTCACCCTTGCGAGAGTCTTTCTTTCTTCTGCGTAACTTCTTATCTTTTTTTGGTAACTATAAAAACTTATCTTCAACGTAGTTACTAATTTTTCTGCAGTGAGCGAGATCAAAATTTTGAAACTGTTTGCAATATATCATCTTTGCCGATGAAAATTCCGACGAGCAAAACATGTTAGCCTCCAATCACTATTCCTATGTTTGGTTATTCGGTGGCTGGCCATCAATTGATTTCTGGGTAGAAAGACTTTGGTTTTAGGATGTAGTTTTAATTTTCACCGTAGCTCACGTCATCATCTTTTCTCTCTCTGCACGTTTAGAGAAGAAGAGGACAAAAACGTCATTGTACAAAGATCAGATGCTACTTTCTTAATATTACATGTTATAGTGCTATATTCTTCATTAAGTTATCATATATGGTTATTGATTTAATTTTTTACTTTTTTTTTTACATGTTAATTAATTTTTTTAAAAAAGAACGGTTTAAAAACATTTGCTAGCGCATAAAAAAGCTTCAGAAAGTAAATAACAGATAAAAAAACTAATAGAAGCATAGTAGTGAGAAAACATTTGTTTACGCATAAGTGAACCAAAGAGAAAAGAGGTTGGCCGTTGGCGAAAGCTTTCCTCTTATCTCTTGTGTCACGGATCGATCTGTCGATTGAAATGAAAACCCCTTTAGGCTTACAGTTTATGAGGTGCTATTGTGAAGCATGTTATTCTTTTCTCTCCACTCTTATGAACAAGATCAAGATTATGAAAATAAAAGACACTTTTTTATTGATATGGAAACTAACTCAAAACCATAAAATCACAATCTCAATCTCTCAATCTCTCATTCACAAACTCATAAACCCACATAAGACCTTATGCAATTAGGGTTTAAGGTTTAGGGTATAGGGTTTAGGGTATAGGGTATAGGGTATAGGGTATATAGGGTTTAGGGTTTATGGTATAGGGTTAAAAACCCGATCTATTAACAACAAGTAGATTTAAACCGGGGGAATTAGTAATATGTTAGGAAAAATTGGCACAAGAAGGCGTGGATACACTTCTTGATAATGGAATCCGTGGACAACCCATGAGGGATGGTCATAATAAGGTTAAAGGTTTAGGGTTTTGGGTTAAGGGTTAGGGGTTAGGG